TTCAAGGCTCAGGGGTCCAAGATTATCTTCTGTGTCTGTGTTAATTGGTTTCCCTTTTCTTTGTTGAAGAGGGTCTGTGCAGTCTTTCTGCCTAGTCCGCCATCTTGCTGGAACTCAGTACCATTGGTTCTTCATCATATGCCACCTCCTGGAGTGGCAGAATATTGACCAATTCTTTATGGTACAATTCTTTCCATCTTCTTTTGATGTTTCCTGCATCATTCAGTATTTTGCCCATGGAATCTTTTAGTATTACAGCTTGAGGCTTAAATTTTTTCCTCAGTTCTTTCAGCTTGATAAATACCAAGTGTGTTCTCCTCTTTTGGTTTTCTAACTCCAGGTCTTTACACATTTCATTATAATACACTTTGTCTTCTCGAGTTGCTCTTTGAAATCTTTTCAGCTCTTTAATCTTATCATTTCTTCCATTTGCTTTAGCTACTCTTCATTCAAGAGCAAGTTTCAGTGTCTTTTCTGACAGTCATTTTGGTCTTTTCTTTTTTTCCTGTCTTTTTAATGACTTTTTACTTTCTTCCTGGGTGATGTTCTTGATGTCATCCCACAATTCATCTGGTTTTCGGTCATTGGTGTTCAGTGCATCAAATCTGTTTTTCAAATGGTCTCTGAATTCAGGTGGGATATAATCAAGGTCATATTTTGGTTCTTGTGGACTTGTTTAAATTGTCTTTAGCTCCAACTTGAATTTGCATATGAGAAGTTGATGGCCTTTTCCATAGTCAGCTCCTCACCTTGTTTTGGCTGTAGATAACTGAGGCTTGTCCATTTCCTCTTTCCACTGATGTAGTTGATCTTATTCCTGTGTATTCCATCTGGTGAGGTCCATGTGCACCATTTATGTTGTTGAATAAAGGTAATTGCAATGAATAAGTCGTTGGTCTTGCAAAATTCTATTATGTGACCTCTGATGTCATGTCTATCACCAAGACCATATTTTCCAACTACTGGTGATTCTTCTTTGTTTCCAGTTTTTGCATTACAATTACCAGTAATAATCAACACATCTTGATTGGATGTTTGGTCAATTTCAATACTGCAGAAGTTGGTAAAAATCTTTAATTTCCTCATCTTTGGGTTTAGTGGTTGCTGCATAAATTTGAATAGTAGTAGTATTAACTGATCTTCCTTGTAGGCATATGGATAGTAGCCTATCACTGACAGCATTGTACTTCAGGACAGATCTTGAAACATTTTTTGTGACAGTGAATGCCATGCCATTCCTCTTCAATATGTCATTCCCGGCATAGTAGATCATATGATTGTCTGTTTCAGAATGGCCAACACCAGTCCATTTTAGCTCACTAATGCCTAGGATATTGATCTTTATGTGTTCCATTTCATTTTTGACAACTTCCAACTTTCCTAGATACATACTTGTACATTCCATGTTCTGATTATTAGTGGATGTTTTCAGCCCTTTTTTTTACCATTTTGAGTCATACCACATTGCCAAATGAATTAAGGTTACTAACATTGACTCTACTTTGAGGAGGCAGTTCTTGCCCAGTCATAATTTGAGTGCTTTTGGACCTGAGGGGCTCATCTACTGACACTGTGTCAGATGATATCTCAGGACTATTCATATTGTTTTCCAGTAATATATCAGACAGCATTTCACTGCTATTCATAAGGTTTTCACTGGCAGTTATTTGAGAAGTGAATGGCCTCTTCCTTCTTCTGAGCCTGTCTTAGTCTGGAAGCTCTGCTGAAACCTGTCCACCATGGGTGACTGCTGGTATGTGAAATACTGGTGTCCTAGCCTCCAGCATCACAGCAACATGCAAGCCACCACAGTACAACAAAATGACAGACAAGTGGTAGAGTCCCTAAACTCCTTTTAGAAATTCATGATGCCTGCCTTGTGTGTCTGTGCTCCCTAGGAGTCTCTCAGAACAAGCCAGCCAGAGGAAAAAAAGGATCCTTCTCTTGATTCCAATGCTGCTGGACCCCCTACTCCTGGCAAGCTCTTCAGCCAGGGTGCAGACAGCAGCCTGAGCAGTGCTGATGGCCAAGAGCAACAGGGAAGAGTGGTGGGCTCTCAGCTCCCAGGAAAAGAACAGAATGAGAAGAGTAATACCGGGGTCTCTGGAAGTCAGGACCACAGGGTGGACACAGGGAGCGATCATCCTTCCAAAGCCTCTGAAAAGGAGAAACTGATGGATCTGGTGGATAAAGGAGAGGAGAACTTCGAGAAGGAAGAGGAAGTGGAGAAGCTGAAAAGGGAGGCTTCTTCCCCAAAAGAGAATGGATCAGTTGCTAGTGAAGTAAGTCACTTTGTTCTGTAGACAGTTGCTGGCCGAAACCCTGTGCTTCTCTCTTAAGCCTTATGCAGATTCCCAGCCCCACATCTTTATTACTGAGTCAGGAGCTTCATTTGCAGGTTCTGCAATGAGCTCGACAGCATCAGCTAGAACCTTTAATTGTGACAAATGTGCCCAGATTCAGCAGGACAGTCAAATCTGGAATGGAACTCCAAAGCTGCTGGCACTAGAAATTCAGAGCAGTAATTTGTTTTTCCATAGACACTTCCCAGCCCCCCACCTCCATCCCACCTGGGATATTAACGTTCTTCTTTTCTCCTACTTAAGGAGCTCTGGTGGTGCAGTGGCTAAGGCATTTGACTGCTATCCAGAAGGTTGGTGATTTAAGCCCATCAGCAGGTCTATGGAAGGAAGATGAGACAATCTACTTCCATAAAGATTTACAGCCTTGGAAACCCAATGGGGGTCACTGAGTTGGTATTGACTTGATGGCCGTGGGTTTGGGTTTTTTTTCCCCCCCTCCTATTTACTTCCTCTTTCGCTTTCCTGTCTCCCTCTTCAACACCTGGACATCAGTATGGGGTCAGTCATGGTTGCAGCACAATGAGTTCCTGTAGGGAGAGAACATTGTGGCAGGAGACATAACATGGTTGGTAGTGTCCTGTTCTCTACCCCTCCACCCCCAAACATGCACAGGTAGGTTAGGTTACAAGAAGACTCTTAATGATTTCTGTGGTTCTTTCTGAATCAGCTCAGGACATGGGAGTAGTTGCTTTGCAAGACCAGGGGTGACGTACATGGGTAGAAGTATGACAGATCCTTTGGCATTTTGGATTTCCAGCCCTTAGCTCTGTTCCTCCTCCAGGTAGATGGCTGGGTAATTAATTTAAAGAGCTTTTTTGTACTTTCTAGAAAAGATGCCTTTCTTCTTTTTTTTTTTTTTTTTGGACAGTATCAAACTTTAGACTCCCAGCTTTCTAACCCTTCCACTACAGTTGGGTCTCTTTACCATGTACATGCTTGTTCTGATTCAGAGTGTGGCTGTCTGGTCTCAGCTGGGCTGCCCAGCCCAGGGGTGTGGGTGCTGGGGCATGTGTCCAGAGGGAGTGGGAGGGGCCACAGGCCTTCCTCAGGTTTTCAAGAAGAGGTAGATCTCTGTTGGGGCTGAGCCCTGTGTTGGCACCATGGCCTGAATGAAATTTACTGGACAGTTCTCTCCCCTCTGCTGTAGTGATCCTGTCCTGCTGTGCTGTGCTCTGCATAGCTGGGTGATGTCTCTTTGTGTTTGTTTTCTCAGGAGTCAAACATCAGTGAACATGTGAAGGAGCGACAACTCTCAGACTCTGCTGCTTCTGACCCCAAGTCCTTCCTTGACCTGGTGAGTTTGAGATGAGCTGGCAAAGTGGTGGGGAAGAGCAGGAGAGATTTAGGAGCTCTGGTAGCGCAGTGCCTAAGGCACTTGACTGCTGACCAGAAGGCTGGCGGTTCAAACCCATCAGCCACTCCTCGGAAGGAAGGTTGGGCAATCCTACTTCCATAGTGATGCTGCCTCGGAAACCCAAGGAGGGGTCGCTATGAGTTGGGGCTGACTTGATGGCACATAACACCAACAACAACATGGTTAAGTAAAGGCGCTCTGGTGGCATAGTGGGTAAAGTGTTTGGCTGCTACCTAGAAGGTCAGTGGTTCAAACACACCAGTTGCTCCTTGGGAAGAAAATGAGGCAGTCTACTTCTATAAAAATTTATAGCCTTGGAAACCCGTTGGGGGTCATTATGAGTTGAAATCGACTCAGTGGCAGTGGGTTTGGTTTTGATTTGGTGGTTCAATAATTTGCTTAGGATCAAACAGCTAGGAAGTGGGTGGAATTAGAATTCGAAGTTGAGTTGTGTCTAATTCAAGTTTCTCAGCCATTAAATAAGGATGATACTACCTACTTTTTAGATGTGTTGTGAGAACACAGTGGAAAAATGTAAACCATTAGCATGTAAGCATTAGATAAATGTTAGCTCTTATTACTATTGTTGTTATGTGCCATCGAGTCGGCCACAACTCATAGCGACCCCTCCTTGGGTTTCCGAGGCAGTATCACCACGGAAGTAGATTGCCCCATCTTCCTTCCAAGGAGTGGCTGGTGGGTTTGAACCACCAGCCTTCTGGTTAGCAGTCAAGTTCCTTAGGCACTATGCTACCAGAGCTCCCTTACTACTATTACTATTGTGTAAATTGCCTATGAGATCATTTGAGTTGCCTCTGGGCACTAGTTGAACATTACATAGGCCTAGGAGGGAAGAGACTGGTGTGTGTGTGTGTGTGTGTGTGTGTGTGTGTGTGAGATATATAGAGAGAATTATCACTGAGCTGTGGTGAGGACCAGGAGCTCTGGTGGCATAGTGCCTAAGCCATTTGACTGCTGATCAGAAGCCTGGCAGTTCAAACCCACCAACCACTCCTCGGAAGGAAGGTTGGGCAGTGATACCACCCCAGAAACCCAAGGAGGGGTGTCTGTGAGTTGGATCCTAGTTGATGGAAGTGAGCTTGGTTTGGTTTTGTATGGTGAGGACCAGTCCCCAAGCTCTTTGTGGTTTTATTTCTAAAGTCACATCTTTGTACTGGAATGCCAGCATCCATGGTCTTTTGTCTCAGACCTTCCACCCAGCCTGCTGTATCGTGGTTTCATTTGCCAGGTCTGTATCTAAGGGGAGTAGTTTGGGGTGCTTTTTTGGCAGAGCATTACCTCTAGAAATTCTGCTCCATCTGTTTGGAGGAGGCAGATCAAAGGGAGGGGATTAGGGGAGAGGGTCAGGGATGAACAGTAATGATGTGAGGGGGTGCAGTAGAATTAGAAGGCTGTATGCTCCAGCCCCTTACTGAGCCATGGGCTTAGGAGACAGATGGCAGCTGCATTAACTGGAGTAGAACTCAAACTGAAGGGAAAATGTCACCCCAAACTAAGAAAAACCCACACACTAGGAAGGAAAGGCAAAAAGTATTATTATTGGCAAAAACCATCTATGAAGCATAGCATTGTCAGAGAACGCTTTGAAGCAAAGAGTCTGGCTCTTCTAAAGGAGTCACCTGTGTGGAGAAATGTGCCCATCAGCATTTTTCTTCTCTCTGGGAGTGGATGGAGAAAGCCATGGACCAGACTCGGCTGGACGGCCCGCCATTAATCAGGGCTGATGACAGAACTGTCCCCATTAGCATGCTGTCAGGTAGCAATCCTTCACTTAGCCTAGCAGGGATCTTGGGCTCAGAGGAGGTAGGATTATGGTCTTGTGGCAGCCAAAGGGCAGGAAGGTGCTGGCACCAGTGTGGGCACCTGCTGCCTGTGGAGACATTGTCCAGAAGAGCACATGCATGGGGAGGGGAAGGAAGGAGGTGGGATGAGCCCGCCAAAGCCTCGTTTCTAGGCTACCCACAGATTTCCTGGGCTCTTTGGCCTCCTTCCTGGTGCCCTGGTTAGACACTGGAAGGGGAGAGACAGCTGGAGAGTGACATGCTTTGCAGCTTGTGTCGTGGAAAAAGCTTGGTCTTTGAAGTCAGCCCAGGGGCACCTCTGACCCAGAGCCCCACTGCTTGACAGCTGGGTGACCTTGGGCAACTCATTTGTGCTCTCAAACCTGCTTCCTCATCTGTAAGAGAAGGCTAAAAGTATCGGTCTTATAGTGTTACTTCCGCATTATTTTATTATGAAAGTTTTCAGACATGCAGAAAAGCTAAAGGAATTTTACAGTGAACACCCATGTACTTACCATCTAGCTACAGTTCACATTTTACCATACTTACTTTATCACATGCCTGTCCATCTAGTCACAGAGTTATTTGGAAGATTAAATTTATTAAACCTGAATCAAACCTGTTGCTGTCTGGTCAGTTTGACTCCTAGCGATCCTGTAGGAGGGAGTAGAACTGCTCCATAGATTTTCTAAGGCTGCCACATCTTTTTCCTGCAGAGCAACTGGTGGGTTTGAAGTACTGATCTTTTGGTTAGCAGCCAACCGTTAACTGCTGTGCCACCAGGATGTCAAAATGTCTAGCATAGTACCTGGCACATAGCGGTGCCTTTCTGGGAGGCTGGAGTAGGGGTAGAGGAGAAGCCCTGGTGGACTTTCCATCTCCATTGTCTCCAGGACTTTGGTTTTCACAGCCGGATCACAGAGCACCTGTTGGATGTTAATGAACTTTCCCCGGTCCTGGAGGGAGCCCACTGGGAGGTGAGTCTGTCTGGGTGGGTGGGCTGGGTTGGGCCTTCACTATCCCTGGCAACCATCTTTTGGAATAACCCAGAGTTGAGTCCTACCTATCACCAGGTACATTTCTGGGAGTTCTCACCTTTCTTGTTTGTTAGGCATGGCCCTGACTCTGTGTCTCTGATGGGGTTTCTGACCATTCCTGTTCATTTGCCACTATGAATTAAAGAATCTCCCCCTCCCCATTTATTTATCTGTTTATCCATTCATTCAGCAACTGAGGGCTTTCTACTTGTTCATGTGTGTAGATTGTGGGGCTGGGATTATGATGCTCTTCACAGCCTGGCCTATCCAACTTGCCAGTCTCTTCCTCAGCACTTCCCACAAACCAGCCACGTGCAACCACTCAGCATTCCCAGGGCACACTGTTTACTTCCTTACTGCTCTGAGCTGTGCTTTCTCCCCTTTTATCCCAAGCTAACTCTTTCTCAGTCTTGGAGGCCCACCACTGATGTCACCTCCTCCAAGGATAAAGTGTTCCTCTCTTCGCTCCTCTTAGTGCTTCCTGTTTTGCTTTCTGGTTGTTTGTCTGTCTCTTCTTCCAAATGTAAGCTCTGTGTGGGCATGGGTGTTGTCTGACCCAGCATAGGGTACAAAGATGACTCAAACACAGATTCCATCTTTAAGGAGCTTAAAGCAGAGAAGATCAATTTTTCTCCTCTGTGGGTTTGTTAAGAGAAGAGATTCTGGCACATTGTTGCTTGCTGCAGGTTTAGGAGAATGTTTGGTTTGGGTGAAATGGAAATTTGTTCAGTGCAGCAAACAAGCTCTTGAACATGAAACAAGACTGGACATCTTTTGTGAAGTGAGGGCTGGAGCCAGGGTAGAATTTTCAGGTCAGTTCCATTGATTTGAGCACTTCATATCCCTCTCAGCTCTGGGCTACTACCTAGTCAGTCACCAGGCTCCTGCTGAACCTTGGTCACCCCTGTTTGCAGTGCCAGAGGGGTGTCACAGAGCAATCAAGGGCAAGTAGGATTAATCAGGAATAGTTTGGAGAAGCGCCCTGTGAGCCTGCTGTGACATCGGGTAGGTAAGTGGGCAAGTTATGGAGCTGGCAGGGTAGGGTGGATTTCCATTGCTCTGGCTCCAAAAACCTGGCCAATATCAGAATTACTTGGGAGCTTTACAAAAGATAGATTTCTTGGTCCTATGTAAGACTTTACTGAGGCCAGCCAGTCTCTTTTTGGGTCATACCACTTGGTGTAAAGCGGTAGCAGGGCCTGGCTTGGATTTGGTTCTAATTATGCACCCCCTGAGGCAGCCAGGCCTGGCAGAATAAGTCCTAAGCTTTACCTCATGACCAGTCAGTCAGAGTGTGGACAGTACTGGGTGCTCATCTTGGCTGATCTAATAGGGCCTGTTGGAAGGTTCAGCCTCTACCTCTTTCCTGTCTTTAGGACATGGAGGGGTTGAGCAAGGAGATGGAGGTGGAGGTATGAGCAAGCTGTCCCTTTGTGGGACAGACAGAACCATAGATGTAATCCCCTTTGTCCTTTTCATGGGCTTTTTTTTTTTTTTTTGTAATTTTGTTGTGGTGAAAATACACATAAGAAAGGTCAGCCCAACAATTTCTACGTGTACAATTCAGTGACATTGATGATTCTTCAAGTTATGTAACCATTCTCATTATCCTTTTCCAAATCATTCCACTACCATTAACATAAACTCAGTTCTTCCTAAACAGACTCTTGTCCATTTTGCTGTATCTTCTAGATCTCTCCCAAGGCCAGTTGTGCCGAGGCTTAGAAATGAGCTAAACTGGGTTTTGTTCAGAAATTGTGTAATTGGCATACAACTAAACTTCACATACTAAAATCGTACATTTGATAAGTTTTGACATGTATCAACCTTTGAAACCATCATCACAGTCAAGATAATTAATGATCATAATAATATAAACAGTGAATTTCATAATAAATTAGAAAAGTGATGATATAATTATTTCAAGTAATACAGAAGGCCAAAATCCTCTACTTCCTGCAGCCTCACTCCTAGAGGTGAGAACTAGTAATAATTTCCATTAACATTTCTTAGTATGTATAAAGGAGCTCTGGTAGCATAGTGCCTAAGGCACTTGACTGCTAACCAGAAGGCTAGCGGTTCAAACCCACGAGCCACTCCTCGGAAGGAAGGTTGGGCATTCCTACTTCCGTAGAGATACTGCCTCGGAAACCCAAGGAGGGGTCGCTATGAGTCGGGGCCGACTCGATGGCAAATAACAACAACAGTATGTATAAGGATGTATCTATTTTCTATTTTTTTATCTTTTTTTCCCTGTAAAAATTGAGATTATTCTAAAAAACTGCTTGGTGATGTGCTGTACCTGTTCTCTTTAATGGTTGTATAGCATTTTGCTATGTAAATGTACCATGACTTATTTTACTGGGGTCCAGACTTTAAACGCAAACAAAACCCTGGCACTGACGAATGGGGAAGTAGTGTCTCCAACTTCTTAGGCCAGGGGCTTAGAAGATACTTGCTATATCACTTTTCTGGCTGATTTTCTCAGCTGGTTCCTTTGGTCCCTTTTTGGGGCAAAAAGGTCCAAGGATACAGTAAAAGTACAAAAAGGACAGTTTGAATGGGTATTTTCCCAGGGTATCCTCTTTTCTATGGCGGTGGTGGTGGTGGGAGGCTCATTCAGTTTCTCACAGAAGTACAGAAAAAAGAAACCAGGAGGGAGTAGACAGAAGGCCTCTGCAGCCAGCCTCCATGCTGACTGCCTTTGTCTTCCTGATATGTGGCTTACAGCTCTTCCCTGACTCAGGCATCAATCTCTACATTTTTATTAACAGCCATCCCTCTTTACTACCCATCATTGTATTACTTAGTTTGTAAAATGGAGTTGGCCTTTGTGATTTTTTTCTTTTTCTTGTAAAGTGAGAGAAGAATATTCAGTGAGCTTAGTGTGATTTGTAGGGGGAAAAAAGTTGGGAGTTGAACACTGGAAGGGTAAGGAGTAGGTGGGAGTAAGGACTGCAGACCCTGCCCCTGTCTGCAGGCTCTGCCCAGGCTGATGCGATCAAGAGTGGCAGCACTGGCAGGGAGCCCTTCTGCTGCAGGCACCAGGAGGTACTCAGAGGCAACATGTCTATTTTTAATGGAATCTGGGGGAGCTGGGGTTTAGTTCAGCCCCTGCACGCCCTCCATTGCCCATCCAGATGGCAGAGTCGGCCACAGCTGTTGGGCTTAGGCTGCCAGTGGAGAGGTAGGGATGATGTGGGCACAGGGCCAGGGACCCCACTGGGAAAGATGGAGTGGGCTGTCTCTTGCCCCACCTCTCCTACTAACTCTGGTGTCCCAGAACAGACGGGTCCCCTGTCAGTGTGACAGAAGGAGTGGAGGGCCTAGAATGAGCACTGACAAAGCCTCCCCCCCCCCACCCTTAGGCTGGGGGAGAGGGAGAGGAGTGTAGGATATGGAGCTCACATTGGTGGCATGCCTTCTTTGGGCGGGAAGTTGGCTTTTGTGTACAAGATCTAATTGACTCCTTACAAGAAGCCCTGTGCGCTGTGGTTTATTATCTCATTTTACATGGTAGGTGACAGACATCCAAGCGGGAAGTGCTAGAACTGAGGGTTGTGTCCAGGCCAGCTACACTGTGACTAAGCTGTGGCTGAGTCTATTGTGACCCATCCTGTAGAAAATATTTGAGATTATCACGAATACTCCTCTTTTCTCACCAGCTTGCTAAATTTGCCTAGACTCCCATGCTTTAAAATGATTTTTTTTTTTTAATCTCTGCCTGGGAAGGTGCTTCACTGTCTACTGATGGGACCTGGGTGCTTGGGGGAGTGTGGTATGGACCTAAGGCATCCTTGTTTTCCTTCCTCTAAGTGCCTGGGTGGTCCCTTTTCAGTCTGGGTGTAACTCTCTTGTTCTACCAAGACTCTATGTCTCTAGCATTCTTCTTTAATGTACTTGTCTTCTGACCACAATTCTTTCCACTTAATTTGAGCATTCCCATATATCCTTGACACTTGGAAGTCTGTGGCTTCTATGGTTTTGAGGTATGCATACATGCCTCTGCTTTCCCTTTGTAGTCAACACTGAACGCTTGCAGGAGCAGGAGGCAGTTCCTTCTTGTGTGTTCTCCCTCAGCCTCTGGCTTGTGGCTCTGCATGCTGTGACTGTGGTTGTCTGACTCATCCTCAGGTCACCAAGGCAGGCCCTGAGCAGCTGTGAGGCTGGGGACTTAGCCAAAACCCCAGGGAGCTTCACTGTGTGGACAGGCCTTTTGTTTCGTGTCCCATGTGGTCCCCACTCACTCAACAGCCACCTCTCACTGCACTCTACTAAGCATGGGAGTCAATAGGAGGGTCCAGGGACTCCAATATACACTTTCCACTGCTTCTTGCTTACAGGCCCAGGGACTGGAAAGAGAGGACAAAGTTGACAGCCAGTCCAGCCGAGATGAGCTGCAGAGCATGCAGTCCAAAGGCTCTGAGAGGTACAGTATGTGGGAGGTTGCCTCAGAGGCCTGAGATGGTGTGGACTTGGGCAGAGCTCTTGGCTTTGGTTGGCATGGCTTCAGTGTGCTGCTTCCTGGAGGCAAATGATGCATTGGTTGGATGACTTTCAGAGTTTATGTGTGCACACACACATGTTTGAGTGTGTGCACACATATATGCCTCCATGAGCATACCATATATCTGATTGTGCACCAGCACAGGAATGTGAAGTGTTGCTGTGTACATTTGGTGGGGACTTTGTGCACTTGGCACTGGATTGGATTGATTAAGCTGTGTTTGTGCCTGGCCATGGATCAAGGCTGCAGCAGCCTGCTGGAGATCTGGGGGAGTCATGCGAGAGGGTCAGTCCTGCGGCTAAGAGCTCTGAGCCAGGACCCTGCCACATCAGAAATAGCTGCAGCTAACAGTGTGTGCACGCACATGTGCATAAGTAAGAGGCATGAGACCATGATAAGAGAAGGGCCGCCACCTGGAATTGGAAGGGAGGTGGTCATTCCACTTAAAAAGATATTAGCACTCTTACTTTCTTAAAACTGCAGTTCCATGCATTTTCTATAGCCTGACCACTTGAGTCTGGCTTCTCCCCATTTTCCCCTAAGTTGTTCCTTCCCATGACCCCAGTGATGGGATAATTCTGGGAATGGATACACCTGTGTGGCTAGCTGTCACTCCTGAGCAGGCAAATTCAGTGCAGCAGAGGCTGGGAGGCCTGACCCTCACTGAGGTGGGAGGAGAGCTCAGGAGGGTGTTTCTTCTCCCTGCGGGTCTGGCCGCTGTGCTATCTGAGCTCCCCATGGCTGTTGGCAGGGTGGGGCCTAGCCTGGAAGGATGACATCCTAGTGTATAGCTTGCCCTCCTTGCTTTTCTTCCTGCTCCCAAATGGAGGGTCCTGACTCTGCTGCTCTCACCAGGTTATCTCCCTCACTTTTGCTTGCGGAGTGGCTTCAGAGTCCCCTTCCCAGCCAGGCCACGGGACGAGGGCCTCTGCAGGCCCCTGAGGGGCAGCCTGAGCAGAAGGAGGCAGGGAAGCCTCTGGAGGACTCTCTAGTCAGCTCCACTCTGCCAGTTTCCCTTCAGAGGTAAGAATGAGTTGAAGCCTCCCAAGCCGGTGGTGATCTCTACCTGTGTGTAGTTGGTCTGCATGCTCATGCTGGGGCGAGGGGAGAGAAGGGAAGGGGTGACTTGGAGAGGGAGGGGAGATAGCAGGTGTGAGCTCCCAGCCTAAGCAGCAGCATGAGAGATTTCCTACAGGAGCTTGGAATGAGGAGATCTGCTGCTTTCTAGTCCTCAGTCTAGAACAAAAAATTGGGGTGTACAATCTCATTAGAGGGAGCTTAGAAACTTGAATGAGGAAATGTCTCTTCTGTCCAACTGCCTGCCTTTCAGGGCCTGGGGCAGAGACTCAGCTGTTGCCCTGGCTGCTCTATTCCTACCAGGGGAGGCCTTACTCCCAGTACCCTCTCTGCCAGCACTTTCAAGTCATTCAGTAAACTCACATGGAACATTGTTGTGCACTAGGCCCTAGGAGTACAGAGGCATGCAGAGCCCCTTACCTGAGGTTAGCTGAGAGGACCTTCGCATCCCAGCCTGGTCCAGAGCCTGCTATGCATTTGCTAGTTCTTCTCTTCCCCTGGCAAGAGAATGATGCTGGTCTTAGAATCCATCCAGTTGCAGTGAGTCACTGGGGGGAGGTGAGCAGCAGTGACGTTCAGCTGTTCAGTCAGCAGCAGCCACTGAACACATGCTGTGTGTGGAGCTCCTCCTTGGGTGCTGTAACCATTCTACTTCCCAGGTGGAACATGAATCTCTGATCTTCAGTGTAAACAGCTGGGGAAGTGGCAAGGAGGAGAGAGTGAGGGTTGAGACCTGAGGTGGGAGAACTTTGTTGGGGCTGTCTCTCTCGTCCCCATCACAGCTCCTGTGACCCCGAATGAAGTGACCTTGGGCTGCTTCCTTTCCTGATGGCTTTAATGCAATTGCTTCCTTCTTGCTATCAAGGGAGCGGGTTCCAAGCGCACTTGCAGCCCACGAGAGGGGCATGGGGCAGCGCTCCCAAGCCGAGGAGCTGGGTCCTGGGCAGGAAGAGGCTGAGGAGCCCGAGGATCAGGTGGCAGTCAGGCCCACCCCTTCAGTCTCTCCAGAAGTGTAAGGGCCAATTTTAATTTGTCTGCCCCTGTCTTCTGTGTGTATGGATGGTTTAAGTGTCCCTGTACTATTGGGTGGTGGGCAGGGGTGCTCTAGCCCAGCAAGTGGAATGTGGGGGGACATTGAGTTTGTCCTTAGTGCTCTGGATATGGTCTTGTGAACACCAAGCAGCTGTCACTGAATCTTATGTGTGGTTAGCTTAGGGGCTCCTTGTCAGGACCTGGGATGTGAGGGTGAATATGAGGGGGGCCTCCTGGCTCCTTGACAGGAACCTGGTTAGTCAAGTTTCCCCCTTTACCAAGCACAATTATGTTTTCTTAAAAACTTTTTTTGTTATTGAGGTAAGGAGCTCTGGTAGCATCGTGCCTAAGGCACTTGACTGCTAACCAGAAGGCTGGCGGTTCAAACCCACCAGCCACTCCTTGGAAGGAGGTTTGGGCATGCCCAATCTACCACCTCGGAAACCCAAGGAGGGGTTGGTTGCTATGAGTCGAGTCCAACTTGACAGCACATAACAACAACAACCAAGTACACAAATCTGAATTGTATAAGTTGCTGAATTTTAATATGTATACACACCATGTAATAATCACCGAGATTAAATATAGAACATTTCCATCCTTTGAGAATGTTTCTTCATGCCCCTTCTCTCAGTATCTCCCCACCCCAGATCATCACTATTCTGGTTTCTATTCCATAGTTTTTCTTGTTCTTAAACTTCCTGTAAATGGAATTATACAGTATATATCTTTTGTTCCTAGGTTCTTTTGCTCAGCAGGTATTCAGATTCACCCATGTTGTACCAGGTACTTCTAAAATTTAGAAGTCACTGGGTTTTTCCCCTCCCATTCTCACCCTCCCCTCTCTCACCCTTTTCACGGATGAGGAAACTGAGGCTCAGAGAGGTGAAGAGATTTGCTCAAGGCTGCATTGCTAGTCAGTTGCAGAATTAGGACTAGATTCAGTAGAGCCCTAGACTTCCGGCTTTTAGTCTGCATTGTTCTTTTCCTTTACATGGAGAAAGACAGGTGTCATGGCTTGAACTGAGCAGGTACGAAGGGGTTAAAAGCCCTCAAGATTCACGACTGACACTTGAGCAGAAACAGGCCTGTGAACTGATTACCACAATAAGTGTCACCCAGAGCTGGCAGGGCATATGAACTCATGATCTTGTTATCCTGATAACATGGCAGGGGTTAACGTAGGGAAGGGCTGGCTTTGTTTTTCAGATGGTGACATTCTGTAGTGAAAGCTGTGACCTTGAGGAAATGACAAAGGTTTCCTTTCCTTAAAGAGCTCTGGTGGCATAGTGCCTAAGGCATTTGACTGCTAACCAGAAGGTTGGCAGTTCAAACCCACCAGCCACTCCGTGGAAGGAAGACTGGGCAATCTACTTCCCTGAAGATTTACCACCTCAGAAACCCATTGGGCATTGCTATGAGTCGGAATTGACTCAATGGCAGTGACTTTGATCTTTGGTTTTTCTTTTCATTGGGAGCTCTGGTGGCATAGTACCTAAGGCATTTGACTGCTAACCAGAAGGCTGGCGGTTCAAACTCGCCAGCCACTCCTCGGAAGGAAGACTGTGTTTGGTAGAGATACCGCCTTAGAAACCCAAGGAGGGCTCGCTATGAGTCAGAAATGACTTGATGGCAGTGAGTTTTTTATCATTGGTGGCTGTGGGCAGCTGCATCTGGGTGCTTTCTATGAGGACCGAAGAAAATTGTGAGTCAAAGAGAGGAGGATCTAACCAAAGGTCAAAGGGGCATCTTCCTGGGACCTCTGGGGGCTGGGGCTGGGCAGTGAGGCTCAGGCTGGAACCCAAGCTTCCTCAGCTCCTCCCTGGCTGCCTTGGCTGGTTAATCCCCTTACTCTGTGTTTCTTCTCCCATCCCAGTGAGGCTGCCCCTGCTGGGGTCTCAGAGATACTTTACTTGGCCATGAAGTTTAAATTTAAACATGGTCCTTAAGAAATGCCTTTCGTTCCTTTCCTGAGCTTTTTCAAGCCCCATAACTTTCTTGTTATTAATCTTCACAGCTATACGAGGAATTGATTGGTTTTCTGGGGAGTAGCTCTATGTCTATCAGCTTCCAAAGATACAGTCAAGCTGAATCCAAAGAGGTTAGCAGCAGAGAGCAGGCCAGAGAATAGGCAAGGCTCAGAGCAGCTACCACTGCCATAATGCTGTAGCTAGAATGGCCAGGGCAGGGAAACAGGAATCATCCTCCCCTTTGTCATCCCAGTAGCTTCCATGAGGTATTTATAGAGGGTAAATGAATAAAAACTACTGGTTTGAATATGAGAGGAAACAAGTTCATTTTGATTCTAATCCAGGTATTAAAGGACTCTTTCTGTGGTAGTACACCCATTTCAACATTTTTCTAGGGTACAGTTTCCCCTGCCCTCTGTCCTTCCTTTCTTCCTTCCCTGCCTGCGATCCCTCCTGGCCTTCCCTCACACGCCTGGCAGCTGCTTTGTGGCCAGCCTAAAATGATGATGCTCCTATAGAACCTCCTTGTTTGCCATTAACTCTTAGAAACTGGGTCTTGTTGATGCTGTTACCTGAGGAGTTGGCCTAGAAATCAGACCTGTCCCCTCCTCTGACGTCTTGACTTCCCAGTTGTCTCATAGATCTTTCAGGGACATTATTTATAGCCTTGGACCTTAGCTAGCAGTTGGGGATACTAGATCTTTAAAACAAGGGGCGAGAGAAAAGGGCCACTGAAAAGAGCCTCACTTGCCTGTGTGCCAGGTGTGCCAGCATGCTTGCGGGTGCACATAGCCTGGGTGCACACTGCCACTTGAGCTGATGCCCATCTTTCAGCAGCATCTGTCCCTGGGGCTCTACGTAGCTATGCAGCCCACAGGGAAGAAAGACATTAAAATGTACCATCTCAGGGAAAAAAAGATGTTTTCAGCCAAGGTTGGAAATGAGTTGGAGGGTTGATGAGGCGGAGAGCTGCAGGGGGAGGCTGTTTCCGAGGGCAGGATTCTCAGATAAGGTGTCAGCAACATCTCTTACATCTGCATCAGTTGGCCTGTGTCAAGGGACTGAGAAGAAGCTGAGATTTGAAAAGAGGGAGGAGATGGGAGCAGAAAAGAATTGAATGCAAAGCTTAAGACCATTTCCAGTCTGAGCTATGATTTTAGGTGAGAAGGAAGGGAAGATCTTAACAGTATTTCAGAGAAGTCAGCTGCCTTATATGCCTGCTTTCTCTCTCTGGCCTCAAAAGGCTGAAATGGATGGAATTCCTTAGTCCTTATTTTCTTCTGTTGTTCTACTCTGATCCTGCACACTGCCTTCCATCTTTGTGGAGCTGGAGCTGGAGGGAGAAGGGATTCTGAGTCCCCAGCAGGGAGGATTGGTTCCTCCTGTGTGACTCTCACCCATGTCCTTGATTTGGGCCATGCCCTCGCGTTCCTGCTAAGGTAACCTGAGCCACCGTGTCTGGCCTGCAGCAGCCTGAGCACCCATGTGAGAAGTGTGATGGTTGTGTGCTGAGACCACTTTCTCACACGATTTAGGGACCCGGAAGTATAAATGTGGACTGGCCTTTAGGAAAGTCGTTCTGGGAGGCTAAATATTTTATTCTGATTATGTGTTCATTGCTCAGAATATTCTCAGCATTTTGCCTTAGGTATTTTCTTCAAGAACCAAAATATAAGCAATGTAATAGCTCTCAAAGTATCTTATTAAGCAAAACTATTGTTCCTTATCTTACCCCTCACCCTTATTCAGTCCAGGTTAGTTCTGAACTCCTCTTATCCATTTCCCAACATTGAATCTATTCTAGTAGATGAAAATGTGCCAGCTCTGGGGAGATCTGGAACCATGGCCCTCCTCTTGAGTCCTTGCTACTACTGTCTTTGGCTTAGGGAAGGGTGTCCTAGCTGGCTCCCTTGGCAGTATGGGAGAAGAGTTTCCTATTCCTGGACCACAGGCAGGAAGGTTCAGGGACTCCATGGGCGACAAGCTGCTGATGCTTCTGCTTGGCTCATTTGCATTGCCTTTGTTCAGTTTGGGAGGCAGAGAGTAGCCTCTGGGGACTGTTCCCAGATTTGCTAACTGGAAGCTTCAGGTATCAAGCAGAGCCCTAGTGGGGAGATGGAAACAGGGCCATGAGCCATTTTGGGGAAGAATCCACTAGGGACAGAACTTCACACTCTCCCTGCTGCTGTCAAATCTTGAGACACAGCTTCCAGGTTTTGACCTCAGGCCACAATATACCAGGCCTACTAGGAGTCTGGGATGGGCCGCCCTTCTCCCTAGACTCTTGGGCAGTACTGTGGGGTTTGTCCTTAGGAACAAATGAGAGGAGTGGCCTTCCTACCTGCCCTTGAGTGATCTGATTTGTGTATGTGCCTCCTGACTGTGGAGCCCCTCCCCTCCATTAAGATTTTACACTTGATATTCTGTATCTATATAAACACCTGGTGCCTAAAGGTAAGTGGATATCAAAACTGCAGTGCTTTGCTGTTTTCTACCCTTGGAAGGCAATCCACAGAGCCTGCAGCTCCCTCAAAGCAGCAATCAGTGGCTACTCTAAAGCTCTTGGAAGAGACAGTAGCACAAGAACTTGAGCAAGACCAGAAGCGGCTTCTGGAATTGAGGCAAGAGAAGGTACAGCAACTGCGGGAGAAGCTGTGGCAAGAGGAGAAAGAGGAGATCCTCCAGCTTCACCAGCAGAAAGAGAAGTCTCTCAGGTCCTGCTCCTCCCCTTAGGCAAGCTCCCTGGGGCCTCCAAATCACATGGGAGAGTGAGGGACACCCTCCTCTGGCCCTGGAGACCACAGTGCTACCCATAGCTCCACCAAGACTTAGTCTCAATGCCAAAGGGATGGGATATCTGGCCAGGGCTGAGAGGGAGTTGGGAGGCTTGATGGTAACGGGAGTTGTTGTTAGGTGCTGTCAAGTCGGTTCTGACTCATAGTATCTTTTTAAGCAAAACCGTTGTGTACAAAAACCATTATGTACAAAACGCTGTGTACAAGAGAACAAAACACTGCTTGGTCCTGCACCATCTTTACCGTTGTTGCTATGTTTGAGTCCATTGTTGGAGCCACTGTGTCAGTCCATCCTGTTGAGGGTCTTCTTCTTTTTCACTGACCTACTTTACCAAGCATGATGTCCTGCTCCAGGAACTATTCTTTCCTGACAACATGTCCAAAGTATAAGACACAAAGTCTCACCATCCTTGGTTCCAAAGAGTATTCTGGTTGTAGTTCTTCCAAGACAGATTTGTTTCTTCTGGCAGTCCATGATTTATTCAATATTCTTCACTAACACTGTAATTCAAAGGCATCAATTCTTCTTCTTTGTTGTTGTTGTTGTTATGTGCCGTCGAGTTGGACCTGACTCATAGCTACCCCTCCTTGGGTTTCCAAGGCAGTATCACTACGGAAGTAGATTGCCCCATCTTCCTTCCGAGGAGTGGCTGGTGGGTTTGAACCGGTCTTCTTTATTTATTATCTAGCTTTCTCATGCATATGAGGCAATTGAAAAAACCGTGGCTTGAATCAGGCACACTTTAGTCCTCAAAGTGACATCTTTTTAACACTTTATAGGATCCATGGTGCTGCAGTGGTTGAGTGCTCAACTGCTAATTAAAAGGTTGGCAGTTCAAACACACCAGTTGCTCCACGGGAGAGAGATGTATTAGTCGGCTTCCATAAAAATTAATATCCTATAGGATATGGGGAATAACTACATCCAGCTGCCCAGCCACTCAAAACCAGTGGAGCCTATTTTTTTTAACCACTCCATTAACATCTAAGGAAGGACCTCTGTTGAGAGTCAAGCCTATAGGCTTGTTGTGAGTCAGAATCGACTTGATAGCAGCAGGTTTAAAGTAATGGGAATAGCTGACATTTTCTTGAGAGATTACACTGTCCATGGGCTTTATACATGTTAATTTGTTTAGTCCTCAGAACAACCTCTATGAGGTATTACTCTTAACTCCATTTTACAGATTCTGTTATTAGGAAAAGAAACTAAGGCACAGAAATGTTAAGTAACTTGTCCGTGGTGTCATAGCTAATAAGAAACAGCCAAGATTAACCCAGGTAGTTTGTCTCTGGAGCCCGTTTTCTTTTAATAATACTGTGTTTCCAGTGAAGGTTTACACAGCAGTTTAGGTTGCCATTCAACAATTTCTACACAAGTTATTCAGCGATGGTGGTAACAGTCTTCACAATGTGTGAACATTCTCAATATTTCTGTTCTCATTGTTCCGTTTCCATTAATCTTGTTTCCCTGCCCCCTCACATTCTCATCTTTGTTTTAAAGTAATTGTTGACCATTTGGTCTCATATAGATGATTTTTTAAAAGAGCACAGTCCTTGTGGGTGATTTTCTTTATTTGTGAGCTAATCTGTTTAGTTAAAAGGTGACCTCAGGCTAGTTTTGGTACAAGGTTTAGAGAATATCTCAGGGCAATAGTCTTGGAGAGTTCTCCAGTCTCAACTGATCCAGTAAGCCTGACTTTCTTTTTTCTTTTTTTTGGGAATTTTAGATTCTGTTGCACACTTTTCTCTCATTCTCTCAGGGTCCAGATGGCCCTGATCAGAATGGTCAGTAGTAATAGTAGTCGAGCACCATCTAGTTCTGGTTTCAGAGTAGATGAGGCTATGGTTTGTATAGACTGTTAATCCTGTAGACTCGTTTTTTTTTTTTCAGTCTTGGGTTTCCTTCTTTTTCTTTTTCTCTAGACAAGTAGAGACCAATAGTTGTATAGGTGACCATGGAGCCTATTACTATTACTATTATTTTGGCTTTAACAAACAGGGATTTATTCTCTTACAGTTTTGGAGACTAGATGTCTGAGTTTCAAAGTGCCAGCTCTCAGGGCTGAGTGAAAGCCCCTTAACCTTGGGTTTCAGCTCTGCTTCTTGCTCCCAGCCCACTGGAACTGGAGGTGTCTCTTCACTCAGGCAGCTGCTGGATGCTCTGGCTGGAAAACCCAAGGTTGACAAATAAAATGGCACAGTCCCAAGATTACCGAACAACACAGCAGGCCATTAGTTCAAGTCTAGAGACAGTCCCAAAATTGACAGGAAACATGTCAGGCTGCTGAATGAAGATTCAGCTACATGCAGGGTCCAAGCATGCCAAAAAGCTGGTGACCTTCCTCAAAGTTTTTTATATACTGGAAGCAGACCATATCCCCAAGGCCTCAGCTGCTCCAGTAGATTCTACCATGGAGTTGATTATGGGGAATAACTACATCCAGCTGCCCAGCCACTCAAAACCAGTGGAGCCTATTTTTTTAACCACTCCATTAACCTCTAAGGAAGGACCTTTGTTGAGAGTCCTAGCCCTTTTGGAGTCCTGTAAGATTGTAGGAACAACATTATATAGTATGAGAGGCTCTTGACTAGGAACTAGAACCTTCTATTTTAACCCTGTGTGGCTGGCCTTAGACAAACCACTTAAACCTGGGCTGAGCCTGTGTAATATGATTGTGTGTGTGTGTGTGTGTGTGTGTAAAAAGTTAGATGTTTATTTTTATTAAAGAAAAGGTAGTCCAAGGCTGGTATAGTAGCTCCACAGTGTCTTCAGGGTCCCATTCTCCTTTAATCTCTCTGCTTTGCCATCTTATTAATGCTGATTTTTCACTCTCAGGTTTTCTTTATGGTCCACTATAGCTCTGGAGCTCCAGCCATTGTGTCTATCTCCAGGCAAGAAGAATAGGGCTAGAGTATAAAAGAGGCACCTTTCAGCTCAGTTTCTTTTAAAGCATTTTCCTGGAAACTACCCAATAAGTTCTGCTCCTATTTCATTGAGTACCCCTAGCTACAAAGGAGACTTGGAAATATAGTCCCTTAGCTGGAGCTCTGGTAGCATAGTGCCTAAGGCACTTGACTGCTAACCAGAAGGCTGACAGTTCAAACCCACTAGCCACTCCTTGGAAGGAAGGTTGGGCAATCCTACTTTTGTAGTGATACTGCCTCGGAAACCCAAGGAGGGGTCGCTATGAGTCGGGCCAACCCAACGGCATGTAACAACAACAGCTGGGCCTACTTATCCAACAGAATAAAATCAGGTTCTGTTAGTAAGGAAAAAAAGGGGGAATGGATGTAGAGAAGGTAATACACAGTCTCTACAGCCCAGGGGTAGGAAAGTTGCTACAAAAGGGTGTGAATGAACTTTACTTACTTAGCAGTTTACCTGAAGGCTAAATCTTGTTCTCTTGGACACAACTAAGAGTAGTAAAGAATTCATTTTATATCATACTTTTCAAAGAAATTGTCTTTCTAATCATGTTTGTCTTAGGTTTGAGTTCTCTGAGGAGGCAACACATATCTCTTGGTGGTATGGGGCTGTGTAAGAAGTTGGCTGAAAAGAATGTGGTTTGTGTAAGCAATGGGATGTCAGAGTAGGGTGAGATGGTCACTTTTGCTGCAATGATTAAGTGCTCTGCTAACCAAAAGGTTGATGGTCTGAACCTACCCAGCAACTCTGCGGGAGAAAGAACTGGCAGTCTGCTCTAATAAAGATTTACAGTTAGAAAATCCTATGGGGCCATTCTGTTTTGTCCCATGGGGTCACTATGAGTTGAAATCAACTCAGTGGCACACAACAACATAGATAAGATATTCCTCATGTAGAATCAAGGTTTCATATAGTTTTGGGCTGGGTGATGCCATTCAAACTCAATGAACATTTATTGAGTACTACCTAGTTAAAGGAGTTCTGGTAGCATAGTGGCTAAGTCACTTGCCTGCTAACCAGACGGCTGGCGGTTCAAACCCACCAGCCACTCCTCGGAAGGAAGGTTGGGCAATCCTACTTCCGTAGTGATAACTGCCTCGGAAACCCAAGGAGGGGTCGCTAGGAGTCGGGGCCGACTCGACGGCACATAACAACAACAACAACAACAACCTAGTTAATGTCACTTACTATGCTTAGCACCTGGGGTATGACATATTTTAAGACAAGATTCTTTCACTGGAGAAGCTCCCAGACTTGCAAAGACAACGGACATATACAAGATGAATTACAATGCAATGTGTTACTTGGTACAGAGCAGTATGGGATAAGAGAGGTCCACATTTAAGTGTGAAGGGAAAGGAAAAGCTAATTGACTAAACTGGAGGGAGTTGGAAAGACTTCCTAGAGAGGTGGTGGCATCTGAGCTTGGTGTTCAGTGATGAGGGAATTCTAAGCAGAGGAACCAACATGAACAAAGGCCAAGAGGCATGAAAGAATGTAGGATTTGGAGACAGAAACTCATTTGATGTGTCTAGAATGGAGTTGGTTGAGTGGGCAGTTGAAGCATCTGGAACCAGAGTCAGGTTGGGGTCAGATTGTATCAGTTCTTGAGTGGTTGCCATGTTGAGGTGAACCTATAGGCAGAGGGGAGACTTTGGAAGAAATGCTGTTCTGGGATCAAGCAGCCTGCCATCCGCTTCCTGTGGCAAAGGGCAGAGGTGGAGTACATGAGCCCTTCTTTACCTTGGGGGGTTATAATAGGCAGCATGAATGCAGAGACCAAGGTGAAATCCATCTTTATGACTGAGGATGCTTCATTGGAGGCTGAGAGCCAGAGGTTATGACTAGAAGAGGAAGATGTTTGTGATCCTGAAAAAAACTCACCTCTCCTTTAACTCCTAGTTCCCTGAAGGAGCAGCTGCAGAAAGCCACTGAGGAGGAGGAGGCTCGGTTGAGAGAAGAAAGCCAGAGGTTGTCTCAGCTCCGAGCCCAGGTTCAGTCTAGTGCAGAGACAGATGAAGCTCAAATGAGGTGAGCTGTCCTGTGAGCCACCCAACCCTGTGCGGTTGACCCCTGAGTGCACAGGCCTATCCCTTCTGTTCTGTCTTTCCAGGGCCGAGCAAGAGGCTGCCCTGCAGAGGCTGAGAGAAGAGTTGGAGTCTCTACAGAAGGCCGAGAGGGCCAACTTGGAACAGAAAAACAGGCAAATGCTAGAGCAACTCAAGGAGGAGATGGAGGCTTCCGAGAAGAGAGAGCAGGCTGCCCTGAGAGCAGAGAAGGAGAAGGCTCTGCAGCAGCTGAGGGAGCAACTGGAAGAGGAGAGGAAAGAAGTGAGCAAGCTAAATGGGACCTCATCCTCTGCCATGTCTCTCAGCTGCCTGGGCAGGGACCGCATGTCCAGGAAGAGGGTGGGCCAGCTTTGGGTATGCAGGGTTTGGAGCCAGGCAGAGAATGGGTCACACACAGACAGGCACAGGAGACAGAGATTTGACTGTCTGAGGCCCATCACTCCACATGGACCTGACTTGTCTCAGGGAGTATCAGCCCTCATCTCCATAGCAGAGTGGAGGATGCTTCAGGAGGTAGAGGGTCCTTTCCAGGGCTAGTCTGGGCTGGCAGCACTCACTGGTGTGGCCTGTAGCAGTGAAGCCATTAGAGGTATGAGGAGAAATGACCTGTGGGTTTGGGAATGTTCCACCACTGTGAGAACTTAAACCAGACCAGAGGTCTCAAGACAAGGGTGCTCTGCCCTGGCTTGTCCCTGAGGGGCAGTGGGGATGACTTTCCATCTCCTCCCTCTCTTTCTGTCTTGGAGTGGGGGGTTAGCACGTTTGAAGAACTTTTTTTCCATTGTCCTTACTCCCTCTCTCTCCTGTCAGATGTCTGTCTCCAGGTTAGATGCTGAAATAAGTAACAAGCAGGCCATGTAGAACTTTTTTTTATTTTTGATGAGGGGGTGAGGTCTCCTTAGATGCTTCAGCTGTCAGACAAAGAAAAACACAACAAATCACAGAGAAAACTTCACTGTACTGCAAGTGTTGAAGAGACTGAGCTAAAACCTCCAACCCTCCCTGCCTTGGGTCTTACTTATAGTCATGAGTATCTTCTGTGTACCAGTGGCCTAGCCCAGAGGCAGGGGGATGGAAGCAGTGACCTGAGGCATACTGACCTGCCCTGGCACCTCTGGCCTTCATATTCCTGTTCACTTGCCAGTTGCAGAATTCAGGGACTGAATTACTTCAGAGGAACAAAGATGTGCTCATGATTCCCTTAGTCCCTTAGCTTGAGGGGGGTTGAGGATAGTTTTCCTGGCTCTTCCCTTCCTCATGGTTAGTACTGGCCAGCCTTCCCTGCCCAGCTTCCTTCACAGCCCTTTCTTGTTCCCCAGGCTGTGGGTGTGCTGGAGAGAGAGCACAGTGTTGAGCTGGAGCAGCTCCGTGCCTCATTGGAGGCCAAGCACCAAGAGGTGAGATGCAGCCAGCCCTGACTCTACAAGGCAGAGCCTGGGCATATTGGTCCCTGAGTGGGAACCTCAAAGCCTTCTTCAGGGCTTATTGGTAGAAGAACTCACCCCATTCCTGGCCCCAAGGGAGGGAACAATCTTCTTCCTTCAGGGGTTGGATGCCAGGCCCCTGGGAAATGAGTCCCTTCATGGCAGCTGTCCAGTGTTCTCAGGTGGTCACATTCCCCATGTATTGGGGTCTCCTCAGGTGGTTTCTAGCCTCCAGAAGAGGATAGAGGAAGCTCAACAAAAAGAGGCAGCCCAGCTGCAGGAGAGCCTTGGGCGGATGGAGCAGCGAGCTTATCAGAAAGTCCACCAAGTGACTGAGTATGAACAAGAGGTGAATGCTGGTCTGTTTCTTCAGCATTGGCGTGTACCTCCCGTGGCTCTCTTACGGTCTGCTGAGCCATCTGGCCTGTGTCCTCTCTCCAGTTTGCCCTGGAAGGCTCAGTGAGGGCTTAGAACTCTGGTTCCACTTTGATGCCTTGGTTCCTTTGAGGTCTGGTACTTCACCCCTGCACCCCTATGTGTAGGGGGTTGTTGGGGGTATATGTTCCCATGTCTTGTATGTGTGATGTGTAGATGGTGGTATGTCGGAGTGTTGGAGAGGAGCGTGCACGTTGCATGTCTGTGTGAGACCTTCAGGTGCGTCGGGCCCCATGAGCTGGTCTGCTCTTTGTCCTGCATGCTGCAGCTCTCCTGTCAACCCTGCAGCTCAGTGGTCTCCTGAGAGAGAGGCGTCAGGAGGTGGAAAGGGAGCACGAGAAGAGGATGGACAAGATGAAGAAGGAACACCAGCAAGTGCTGGCAGAGACCAGAGAACAGTATGAAGATGAGGTGACTTGACTACATGCCTGGCAAACCACCCCCCCCCAACCCCAGGGGTCCATCCAGGTTGGCTGGGAGGGGAGAGGAAGGGAACAGGATGGGCTGTGGTCAGGGATTATGGGAAACTTTCCTCTAATAGGAGGCTCTTGTACTTTGTAGTGGTGAAGTCCTTTCTTGCCTTTTCTCAAAAACATTAGAAAAACCTCCCTCTTATGTGGGGTGGTTCCTCTCTATCATGCAGGCTGCACTTTGAGTCTTTTGTTAACGATCATAGCTAACATACACTGAGCTCTTACTATATGCCTGATGCACTGTTCTAAGTACCTTGTTTATATAAACTTGTTCAGTCCTCACAACAACCTTAGATGGTAGGTACTACCATTATCTTCATTTACAAGATGGGGAAACTGAGGCTTAGGTTGTTTAAGTAACTTTCCCACACCCAGCTAAAAAGTAGAAGAGCTGGGATTCAAGCCCAGGCTGTCTGGCTCCAGAGCCTCCAGTTTTAACCACTCTGATACCAGGGACCAGTGTTAATGGAAATTTCAGGACACCAAGAAGTAGATCAGCAAGAGCCAAAAAGTACTTGGATATTACCTGTACTGTCATCAGCCCTTGAAACTTCAGTTACTGGAGTGGACACCATCTGGCTTTGCTTGCTCACACTGGGGGTGACCAGTGGGTGGGTGGAGGGGTCGACTAGCCCACAGCTGAGTCTGCTGGGAATCTAGGCTGCTGCTCCAGTAACTGGGACAGGGAACCTGGATGCTTTCTATAGCTATTTCCAGGGCAGAAATAAGTGGCCCATGATGATAGTTAGTCGAATCCCTACCCAAACCAATTATGACCTTGCCGAGGAGTAGTGGTCATAATTTATTAATGACTTCTCTTCCTCTAAGGAGGGAAAATTGTCCCCAGAGGGGGACTTCTTGTGACATCTGACCAGCGTCTGCTACAGCTGCAGTGGGGGTGCAGGCTTTCTGGGGTATCTGTGCTATCCTTAATGTTCTCTTTCCCTTCTTGAAGTGCTGGTCTTTGGGTGCGAGTGGTACCCCTGATCTTATTGACCCAAGTTTGCAGTGAGTACAACTGTGATTTTAGAGCTGTGAGGGGGCCACTGTATTTCTCACCCCCTTGACAGGAGCGGAAGCAACGGTCTGAACTTTTGGGTCACCTGACTGGAGAGCTAGAGCGCCTGCGAAGGGCCCACGAGCGTGAGCTGGCGGCCACAAGGCAAAAGCAGGACAAGCATCTCGAGGACTTACAGCGCCGGCACCATGAGCAGGTGAGGGGCCCTGGGCAGGTACTGGGGCCGGAGGAGGAGCTTCACACACTTCTCTGCAGCAGGATGGAGTTGGACAGCTTCAGGAGTGAGGTCTCTTACTGACCTTCCCTAGGCTGGGCATCTTCACTCCTTTATTTTCTGGGCCAGGAACCATCCCCAGTATTAGAAGAGACCAGACCCTAGTAAGGCCTTAGGCTTGACATCTTTGCTTCTCCTTGCACCCACTGGTGATAAACAGAGTGTGGTGCTTTCCTGGGAGGTTTTGAGGGAAAATTGGGAGGAAGCTTGATCCCAGATTGGAAGTCATGGTATGGCATGGTGGGTTCTGGAACCCTTCCCTACTCCCTCAGGCAATGCCTTATGCCCTTTCTGTGTTACGCCTTTCTTTCCACCTATGCTTCCATACAGGAAAGGAAACTTCAAGATTTGGAGGTGGAACTTGAAACCAGAACTAAAGATATCAAGACCACATTGGCTCAGTTGGACATTCAGGTGAGGGAGTGGGGTGAAAACTGGGATCTACAGGTGTCCTTGACCTTGGAGTAATAGCTCCCCCAGATGAGGGTGAGCCTTTCTGCCCCTCAGACCTTGGGCCTGGAGACCAGCAAAGGGACCTGTTCCTTTCTTCCCACCCCAGGTGGAGACCGCCCGCAAGGAGAAGCAGCAGCTCCTGGAAGTGCAGAAGCAGGTTGCTCTGGAGAGCGAGGTTTGTCTGCCACTCTTGGCCTCTCTCCTTTGCCTTCCTCCCATTCCTTTTCTTCCTTCTCTCTTTTTCTCTCCCTGACCTCTTTAATTACCTAATATGTCCAGGGTATTGCGATGCTAATAGTCTACAGATAGGCCTCTGTGTGGAATGCACCTTGGAAACCTCAGGGAGTGGGACTGTTGAGGGGAGGACAGCAGCTGGCAGACCTCCACTTTCAGAAACAGTGACTGCAGTGTATCTGAGGCCCACCCTGTCTCCCTTTTTCTTTGGGGTTCCCTGTCTCCTAGTGCTGCCCGTTCTCTGCCTGTGCTCCACTGCATCTTCAGGTGCTTCTTTCTCTCCTTCTGCCCCCAGGAAGCCACAGCTACCCATCAGCATTTGGAGGAGGCAAAGAAGGAGCACACTCGCCTGTTGGAGTCAAACCAACAGCTCCGAAGAGTTCTCGGTGAGCTTCAGGACCATAAGCTGGAGTTGGAGTCCCAAGTGGAACTACTGCAGACCCAGAATCAGAGACTGCAGAAACAGCTCAGGTGTGTGGGGGCAGCCCTGCACTCAGCCCTCTGATTCTTGTTGCTCACAGGCTCAACTAATCACGGCCCAATTAACAGCCCCAGGTGGAGGCCCTGACTTGGGAGCCAGGCAGAGCTGCTCTTGTCTGTTGCATTTGGTAGTGACCGGGCTGTGTTAAGGAGCCTTGGTAGCACAGTGGTTAAAGTGCTCAACAGTGACCAAAAGTTCAGTGGTTGCTGAACCAAACCCATCAACTGCTGTATGGGAGGAAGATGAGGCAGTTGGTGTCTATAAAGATTTACAGTCTTGGAAACCCAATGGGGCAGTTCTGCTCTGTCCTATAGGGTTCCTATGAGTAGGAATTGACTCATTGGCCGTGGGTTTCATTTTTTGGTTTGGGGTGTGTTAAACAGGCTGTGAAAAGCAAGCGAGTCCCTGGTTCTACCATTCACGCCCAGCCTCATCTAGGGACTTTGAACAGAGTGAAGGGTTGGAGGTGTTCTTACTCTCACCCTGAGATCAGGGCTTGAAGCCAATCCCAGGAGTCCCTGCTCCATCATGTGACCCTGGCTCCCCATCCACTCCCCGCTCCCACCACAGCAGCCTGGAGGCTGAAGCTCAGAGGAAGCAGGACACGTTGAAAGAGATAGCAGTCGAGGAGAGTAATGCTTCCCCGCGCTTAGAGCCGGATCTCCACATTGAGGACCTGCGGAGATCCCTTGGGACAGTGAGCTTCTCAGGGTGGCTGGGCTTGGGGCTGGGACAGGGCATCAGGAGAGGGCGGCAAGGCTGGTTCTGTTCTCTATGGGACCTTGGCCTCCCTGTTCTTATCATGCCCGGCCGTCACCTCCACCAGATGATCATTCTACAAGAACAGTACCCAGCAGCTGGGAGGGCCATTTCTATGTTTAGGCCACTGGGGTCTCTTGAGCCTATGGGCTTTTGCTTTTGAATGCTTTGGATGCATTCAGTGGGTCTTTCCTACTTTATATCTTTAGAACCAGATCAAAGAGATATCCTTTTCTCTCTCACAGAGCAAGGAGGAGAACAACTTGTCCATGGATAGGTAAGTTCTAGTAGCTGATTTTGGGTTGAGGATGCCCTGAAAGAGTGAGAGAATGCTTCATCCCAGAGCTGGGGGCACTGACATGAGGTGGCAGCAATCATAAGTGGGGCTTGGTCAGGGAGGAGCATCTGGGGAGCTGAGGGATCTTCTCTGGTCAGCCACAAAGCTGCCCATTGGAGTGCCTGGCTGGCATGCTGCCATCTGCTGACCTCTGGTTGAGGGTCAGACTAATGGGCATGTCTGGCCCTCTGTCTAGAGACCTCAGGTTTGATGCCTTTCAGAGTCAAGGTGGAAGGACTATTAGCCCAGCTTTCTGCACACTGCAGTTGTTGAACAGTGGCATCCCAACACTGCCCAGGCCAGTTGCTCCTGTCCATACACAGGGCGGGCATCCACTGGGGAAGTAGTTCCTAGAGTTTTCTGTCTCTAATTCCTCTGCCCTACCCTTCCACAGTGTCCGGCACTTTATCTCTGCTGAAGAGATAGCCCTCTGTAATGCCAAGGAGTTTCTGGAGCAGCAGACACACTCCATGAGGAGGCGGCAGACAGTTCTGAAGGTTGCCCAGCAGCACTGGCGCCAAGAGCTGGCCACTGCCCCAGAGGCAGCCAGAGACCTGCCAGGCTCCAAGATTCTGGAAGATGTGAACAAGAACTTGAAGAAGGTTAGGAGCTTCCAAGGGAAACTTCAGCCCTGCACAGGGGGTGGGGGAAGGCCTAGGGGAGGCAGGGGACCCTTATGTTTTGGGCTCTAAACTGATCATTCTGGGGACTCCATAAGGATGGTCATATGGGCAAGAATTGTCTTGGGAGATTTGGTGGGTTATGTCATATATCACCATGAGGATGAAAGTACCTTACAAATGTTTCCATGGCAATGCACAGTGTGCAGAGCACTTTTCTCTAATTGTAAGTCATTTGATCCTCACGATTATCATATCATATATGATGAACAAGGTAGTAGTAGTATTCCCATCTTCTAAGTGAAGAGTACAACTACTGTTTTTAAAATTTCAATTCCAGTGCTTTACTTCCTCATTCCATCACACTCAAGAATGCATTCACCAATGAAAATCTTCTGAACACACTCAGGATAAGACTAAGTTACAAAAAAAACCCAACTAAACTCATTGCTGTCGAGTTGGATCCAACTCATAGTGACCCCTCCTTGGGTTTCTGAGGTGCTATCACTGTGGAAGTAGATTGCCCAGTCTTCCTTCTGAGGAGTGGCTGGTGGGTTTGAACTGCCAACCTTCTGGTTAGCAGTCAAATGCCTTAGGCACTATGCCACCAGAGCTCCTAAGACTAAGTTACTTGTCTTTAATTAATTCCTCACTGTTAGACCTGATAACCTAATTTGCCACAAGAAGGCAGCAATTTCATAATTAAAATTCATTGAGATCACAGATTTTCATACCATTTGTAGGTCTTAGCCAGGTAGGCTCCCTTGGATTATGCCTGGTCCCTTAGAACTCTGATACTCAAAGCTGCTGAGAGTGCTGGCCCCTAGGGCTGGCTTGGGAGCAGCAGAAGACAAAAGGCTGATGAAAACAGTGGGGCAAGAGTATATAAATGCTACCTCTTTTCCTTCCCCAGATTGTGCTATTGCTCAGCTTAATGCCTTTTGATGAGGATGATGAAAATCGTAATGGTAGTTGGAACAGGAATAATAACAACCATTTAGTTAACAGTAACCATTGGAAAATTTAGTAGATGTGGGCATGGTGTGAAGTATTAACATACTCTCTCATTTAATTCTCACAACCCTCTGAAAAGTAGGGTTTTCATCTCTTTTAAGATGGGAAAACCAGACTGAAGGGTTAAGTAATTTGGTTCAGATCACACAGCCGGCTGCCGAGCTGGGGCTCCAGAGTCTATGTGGTGAGTCGTCACATCTCTCCTGCCTTCTACCCTGGCTGCAGGAGACCAAGCACCTGGATGAGATGAAGTCTGCCATACGGAAAAGTCAGGACCTGCTGAAGAAGAAGGAAGAGAAGCTGAGGCAGCTGGAGTCCTCTCTTCAGGAAGAGGTGCAGCTCTGGGTACACTGAGCCCAGGGTGTCCATGTCCTCCTCCTTTGTTCCTGGGATATGGTTGGGTTTTCTGATCCATGTGAGGGGGCTCTGGGCTTCTAGGGTTGGGATCTGGGCTGGTGAGAATGGCAGTGGCTTCAGTTCTGAGTTTGCTGAGTATTCTGTGGATTCAGATGTCTGGGCTGAATGGTCCTGAGCCCACCCAGAGTCTCCTGCTGAAGGTTTTTGAGAAAGGGGGACTGGTTCCCCACCCTTACTCAGAAGGAAGGTTGGGCAATCCTACTTCCGTAGTGATACTGCCTCGGAAACCCAAGGAGGGGTCGCTATGAGTCGGGGCCGACTCGACGGCAAATAACAACAACAACAACTCTGTCATGGTAACCAAAGAGAGGTACGACCAGGGTGTTGGGAATAACCAGGTATAGCGGGTTTCCCCATCCTTTTTGAACTTTACCCTGGAGGCCTGAGGCTTAGATGTGACAGGTGCTGCAAGGAGAGTTTATTAGGAGGGGAGAGTGGTTGCTGTCTGGGCCAGGTAACCTGTTGCCTATATCTCAAACTCAAAAAAAACCTAAACTCACTGCCATTGAGTTGATCCCAACTCCTAGTGAACCCCATTGGGTTTCTAAGGCTGTAAATCTTTATACGGAAGTGGATTGCCCTATTTTCCTTCCACAGACCAGCTGGTGGGTTTGAACTGCATACCTTCTGGTTAGCAGCCAAAATGCCTTATCCACTACACCACCAGAGCTCCTAAATCTCTCTCTTACATCTCAGGAAATTGAATTCTTTTAACCTCTTCTCTTTCCTGCCTGCTGCAGGGAAGGCTGCATGCTATGCCTTTCCCAGGGTGCTCTCCCCACACATCATAAGGGCAGTGGGACAGCAGGCACATAGGAGGTGTTAGTAAAACTTCTTCCTTCAGGCCTCAGATGAGGACACTCTGGGAGGAGCCCCTACCAAGAAGGTGGTGACCTTTGACCTCAGCAACATGGATGACATGAGCAGTGAAAGTTCTGAATCTTCCCTCCTGCTTCAGAGTGAGTGGTAGTAGCAGCAGGGAAATGAGGTGGAGGTGAGGACCACCGTGCCTACAGGAGTATATGAACCTGGGGAATGGAGGTATACTTCCCTTCCCTCAGCCTGCAGAGGGGTCTGAGCCAGTGTCCACCTGCTTCCTGACACAGAGTGGGTACTCAGTAAGTGCTTAGGAAGGAGAGAATCCATCTGGGTTTGCCTGTGCACAGAGCTGGGAGGTTCAGGGACAGCCTGTGGACACTGTGGAGCATTTTACAATGAGAAGTGTCACTGTTAGCCTTTTCCCTTCCAGTGCCACCTTCTGGGAGGGTGTGTTCCTTCTGTTGCTCTGGCCTGCAAGTGGGCAGAAGGGCCTTTCTCTCCAGGGTCCTGGGCCCCCTTATCAGAGAGAGTCTCTTTTCTGTGGCTAGGGTCCAGTCTGTACTGTCTGGAGCAAAGGAGCCCTGCCATCCCTTCCCATTCCTATCAAGGCTGAGGGGCTGTGGCTGGAGGAACCAGGAAGGGCAGGGGAGGGCAAGGGTGAGTAGGGTGCTGCAGTGGCAGCTGGGTCTGAGGTCCTTCCCCACTGTCAGCCTCTTTCTTTTCAGCTAAGCTCACCCCAAGTCCCAGCTTCCCCAGCAAGATCCAATACTTGTACAGTTCCCTGCAGTGGATCAGCAATGAGATAAATGGTGTCCTCAGCATGCTGAGCAGCCTGAGTGCTCAGCCCCTGCCCCCACTCTTCACTTCAATGCCGGCACAGTTCTCTCCCCTGGCCTCCAAAGGCACCCCTGTTCCCGCTTACTCCTCTCTGCCCAGAGTCTCAACCCCGGCCCGGCATATGCCCAAATCCACCCGGTGGGCCTGGGACCCAGGGCTGGGTCCCAGGCTCTCCTCTTCCATAACTCAAACAGTGGACGACTTCCTGCTGGAGAAATGGCACAAGTATTTTCCAGGTAAACCTCCCTCCAGGCCTGCGCACAGTTCCCTCTAAACCTTCCCGCCTTTCTCTTCCTTCCTTTTCTTTTTCCTTCTGTTTTCTACTCTTCTTTTTTTTTTTTTCCTTCCTTGCTCACCTATCCCCCACACCTGCTGTTCTGGTTACATGTTGCTGCTCTGACGAGAAAATATACCACAAATGGGATGGCCTTAACAACAGGAATTTATTCTTAAAATTTAGAGGCTTTAAGTCCAAGTTCAGAGTGCCAGGCTCTAGGGGCTGGGTGAAAGCACCTCAACCTTGGGGTCCAGCTCTGCCTCCTGCTCCTGGCCCACTGGAGCTAGAGGCGTTTCTTCACTCAGACAGCTGCTGGCCGCTGAGGTTGAGAAACCCCAAGGTTGACAAGTAAAAAGGCATAGTCCCGATGTTACCACATGGCAGGCCATTGACTTAAGTCCATTGTAAGTCCCACGGTCGGCAGAGCATAGCAGGCTGCTGAGCAATGACATGGCTACATGCAGGGTCCAAGCATGCAATAGGCTAGAGACCATTCTCAAAGCATCTCCTTAAATACAGGAAGCAGAACACATACCCAAAGGCAGCTACTCAGCTGCTCCCAGTAGATTCCACCATGGAGTTGATTACCAGTCTCATCATGGGGAATACTACATCCAGCTGCCCAGCCACTCAACCAGCCCTAGCCAAGTTGACATACAAACAACCATCACACCTGCCAACTGTGGCATGGTCCTTTGGTCCATGGTCCAGGTACTCTGTCTGTGGGTCCATGGTGAAGAAGACCTTGCTGGTTGTCCTTTGCCAGAGACATTATGGGGTCAGGATGGTTTATCTGGAACCGGAGCTGATTGGGGCCTTGAGCTTGGCATAACCTAAAAGGTCATTGTTGTCATCATAATGACTGCCATCCTGTGCCAGTGTATTATGGGCTAGAAACTTTTTTTTTTTTTTAATTGTGATTTGGGTGAAAGTTTTCAGAGCAAATTTACTTTCCATAAGCATTTCACACATGTTGTCTCATGACATTGACTACATTTACCCCAATGCAACAGCTCCCTCTCACTTCCTCCCGATAGTTACCTCTTCCCTGTGTCCATCCCTCTATGCACTCCTGCCCCGTGAGCTGTCTCCCTGTGCATAAACAGCCCCTCTTTCTCCCATGATTGTTCTCTCCAAGGAGTGTATCTACCTCAGGTATATGTTCAACTCACATGCCTGTCTTTTGTTTGGCTGGAAGCCACAGGTATGGGTTCAATTTATATGGACTAGGCATTTTATATACCTTTTTTTTTTATTATAATAACTTGATAGCAGTGGGTTTTATGTACATATAAATAAATTCTCTGTGGTAGTTATCATTTATTCCTGCTTTACAGATTAGGAAACAGAGAGGTTAGGTAATATGTTCCAGGGTACGTAGTAATGAACTTGGGTTTGACCTAGGTCTCTGACTTGGGATTCTGCTCCCGACCCCTTAGCTGCATGGCTTCCTCTTGCTTCTGTGCCAGGTACCTTCCCTGATCCTATAGCCCTGCTGAGGCATGTGAAAAGCCATAAAACAGTCAACCCAATTAAAAAAATAGGTTCAGTTTTGGAAATAAAATAATGTCTTCCTCCCCATTTGCCAGCTGGAGTTCCGGTCCTCAGCAGTAGTCCTGCCCCACTGAAGAACAGGCTAGGTTATGTGTCAGCCAGGTAAGCCTCCCCCTTGGCTTCAGATGGAACTGCATAGGCTGCTTGCTCCCTGGGCAGGTGGGGCCTCTGAGGGGAACAGACCTTTTGGAACTGTTCCCCAGAAATGTCAGTCAGGCCTCCAGTTCACAAGGCTGCTCTCACCTTGCCTAGGTCTAAGGTGCCCCTCAAAAAACAAAGAAAAGTCAATTCTACACCCACCAAGGTCCCAGTCGAGGCAGGTTGGGGCTTACCCAGCCCAGCTCCATGAAGAAGCTGCTCTGTGCACCTGTGGAGAGAAACTAGCTTCCTGATCAGGCCCTGTACATGGTCCTTTCCTGTTGGCCCTACCCGCCCTGGGGTCTGGCCTTTTTCTTTGCCATCATATTCTTTTTCTGTTTCCTGTGGCTCCCTTCTTCCCCAAATCCTGCTGAGTAACATCTGGAGTGAGAGGACCACCCCGTAGGGGTGACAGACAGGCAATTATTTAAACCTGTTATTTTCCACTCATTTTATTCCTTGTCTAATGCATCCCTCTCTCTCTCCCTTCTTCACCCCCAACCAAAAGCCCCCTCCCCCTTTGACCACCTTGGGAGTTGAGGCTTGGCAAGTATTTGAGTCAATAGGGGAGCCTCTTTTGCATATGAGATTGGTTGAGGGCGTACAGGTGTGGGAGCCTAGAGCCTTGATGTCAGTAGTCACCTGGGAAAGTCTGTCACCTTCCCTTTTGGAAACATCAGTTCATCACTCCCGAGAGGCATTCCAGAATGGATCTGGGAAGAGGTCAGATCTTGCCAGTATAGGAGGCTTTGAATTGCTAAAGCACCCTGAGAAAGGCTGCAGCTGGCATGTTGAGAGGAAGGAGGCGGCGGGATGTGCTAGCCTGTGGTCTGCTGTGTGCATGTCACCCTCCTCTCACCCTCTGCCCGTGCTGTTCTCCTTCTCAGTGAGCAGCTCCGCCTCCTACAGCAACCCCGTTCCCAGCTGCCTGCGGCGAGCAGCACCAACTTTCAGGTCATGATCGAGGCTAACCGAAAGTGGCTAGAACATTTCAAGAATGACCCCAAATCGTATCCTTTTAACTGGTTCCCAAACTCCAGTCCCTGCCAGCTGCAGAGAAAGAGAATGGGCTGGTTGACCGGGGCCGTAGGGCCTGGTGCGTGTTCCTGGGGGTTGGAGGACTCATTCATCGGAGGTGCTCAGCTGACCGCAGAGTTTCCCTTCACCTCGTGGTCAGATGTCTCTTCTCAGTGCCCAAACCGACAGCCACCTCTGGCCGTCTGCAGCTGGGCCTGGATGAGAAAGAAAGGCTGAAGGTGTATCGCTATTAAGGCCAGCCTGGCCTCGCCTGCACCCAGACCAAGTGCCTGAGGAGCTGACCGCACTTTATTCTCTCTGTATATCATTTTCCTGTCCCCTCTTTGCTGCTTAGCCCACTCAGGACTTGGAGGAACCAGAGGGAGCTGTAGAGTGAAAAGGATGGCATGGCTGGAAATAGCAAGCTGCGCTTTCTGTGACCACGTAACATCTCAGGCTAAACTGTTCTGGACTTCCACTAGCCAGCAGCTGCTGTGTCGACATGACAACACTGATATAATATGGGCAACTGAGGGGCAAGCTGACATGGGGCCTTTGAAGGCCAAGGGAATTCCTTTGGAGCCAGGTGGTTCCCTTGGACCTGGAGGGCATTGTTGGGGCTCTGGCAAAGATGTTGTGTTCAATCCTTCATTCACCAGGACACTGCCCCACAGCGTTCTACACCCTGGGGCCAGGCTCTTCTGGGTCTACACCTGTCTCTCCAATACCTCAGCCTCATAGAGATCAGGCTCTTTACTTTCCTTTTTTTTTAATGCTGCCTTTCTTGAACACCCAGTTTCACCTTTTGACTCTCAGGATTGGGCTTCTCTGTTCCGCTCCCTGCATGAGGTTGCTGGAGGCTGGGCCCAGGAAGTTTGCGACATTATCTTCCCTTAGCTGGCACTGTGATTTCCTCAGTCACTCCTCACAGAGCCATCCCAGCTAGACTCTTGTGTCCCAAGCACAGAACTTCTCTCAGAAGCTGAAGAGCCATAGGAAAATCCTAGGATGCCTTCTGTCCTGTCAGTTTTCCTCTTCCTAGGACACCTGGAGCATATTCATGAGTCCTTCTTTTCATTATCTTTTCTACCTGGCTCCCAGCACCTGGGTTGCATAAAAACAGTTCCACCTCAGCTTTTTACCTGGGCCACCCCGTGCCTCCTGACCCCATCCCACAGCGGCCTCTTCTCAGAGCTTGGCAACTAAGAGAGGAGGTTTAGGGCTGGGCCAGCCCCTGGCCTTGGCAGTGAGAGTTGGTATACCACTTGGCATTACTGCTGTCTTGGCACAGCTCCCTGCAGCCCCACTTCCCATCAGTGGACTCCTCAGGGTTTGCAGGAAGTGGTCTCTGATATCTGTCTCACTGTTTAAATAAAAGGGCCCCTATTTTGTTTTCTTTGAAGCTGTGGGGTTGCTCTTGCCTGTCCCATGCATAGTAGATAACCCTTTCTCTCCCACTACTCATTTCTTTGCATGGAACAAGAAACAAAGATCCAAATCAGATTTCTTTTTTTTTTTTTTTTTCCCCTCAGATACATTTAAGGCTGTATTCTGCCACACAGAAAAAGGTCCGTTTTGTTATTTGGCTCATCCTGTGTGCTTTGGGAATAGCTCATGCGTTACAACCAACTCTGGTGACAATCCTGTTTTCTCTACATCAATTAAATTGCTGCAGGTCCGTTTTCTACAAGTCAAGTGTGTGACTCTGTCTCCTCTTTGGAGGCTTTTGCCTCATTCCTCCGTAGAAGAAAGGAGGAAGGAAAAAATTAATATCCATGGAAAACCTTGTAGATAACTGGTTTAATCACCATAAAAAACCTGTGATGTCAATATTTTCAGCTGTTTTAATGGCAGAAGAAACCAAGGCTCAGAGACCTTTAAGTGCCTGAGGTCACAGCAAAAATTCAAAGCTCTTATCCTTGTGTCCCTGCTCCCTCAGAATTTCCCCAGCTGCCAGCCCTTCAGAAGTGCTGACTCTCCGTCACCCCCTTTGTGAACTCCACTCCCCCTCTCCACCTATCAGCTGGAGGCCCACTGGCCATTTCCCAAAGGCCAGACAAATGAAAAATAAGCCTCCGAAGTCCTGAGCCGGCAAGGTTAGGTGGTTTGTTTCTGCTCCAGTGATGTGAGCAGCCTACATACAGTCTTGAATCTGTAGTAACAAAATCACCAGGAGAACCAACTGAAGTTGCATCAGAAAACCAACTTAATAACAGAACATCCAAAATAATCTAGCCTCCTTTGGGTCCCAGTATCCTAGCAGCTCTGAGAAAACAGGAAGAAAAAAACCTAACATTTGTTGAATGCCTTCTGCATGCTAGGTGCTGTCATACTATCTCATGCAATCCTCTTGCAATGCCTTCTGCATGCTAGGTGCTGTCATACTATCTCATGCAATCCTCTTGCCCTTAGGAAGTTGGTATTATTTTGTAGGTGAGCAAATTCAGTCTAGGAGATGTTAAGAGACATCACACATCTAGTCACCCAGGATCTGAACTCAGGCTCTCCTGTGTCAGCATCTGTCCTAACTCAGGACAGTCCTGGCCAGCCAGCCAGCCAGCTTGCTCTGAAGCCTCAGAAAGGGGATGGTTTTTAGTTAGGTGTGCAAAAATCTCATGGACCAAAATTTGGCAAAGGGTCTTTTTCAAAAAAAGATGCCAAAATGTTCCATTACTCCCCCTGGGGATTTTAGAATTTAACTGGAGAGGCTGGAATCATAAACCTTTGGAGCTGAAAGAGGCCTTGGGAATCCGTTGTTCAGCCCGCTAGTCTTTTATAGTGGAGGTTACCTCATTTTGCATGCTTTGCTAAAGGTCCACAGTCAGCGTGTGACTGAGGTAGCACTAGTATGAATCCAGCCTGGGGCTCTAGGAAAGAGTATTTGTCTAAAAAGATACATAGTTTGAATAGGTTCACATGTTAGTGTGCCTCAGTATTCATATGGAGAAGTCTCTCACTCTGCTCATGAGCCAGGCTTCTCTTTGAAGGTAACAAATAGTACTAGATTCTTCTGGAGATTTTATGCAAATAAAAGAAAAGGCATTATTTTGAGTCTCTCCCCTATCATTCCTAACACAGGATCAGATGGATTTCCCACAACTCTTGTGAGATGTTTATTGACTCGCTTCTTTAAGGGAGCAGTGTTGGAAATGATGGTATAGACAACTCCCCCCCCCACCCCCACCCAAAAAAAACCATACGCACACACAAACCTCTCAGCAAACTGGCACTATGGGGAGTAGGAAATGGCCCTGACCTTAGGACACCACGGTTTACTTTTGACTCTAAAACTTACCTGCTCTCTGATTTGAAAATCCCTTTCTCTGCCCCAGTCTTCTTCCTGGTCAAACAGTTCAAAGCTTGAATCCAGACTCCAAGGAGAAGTGGGGGTTAGGTGGCAGCCTCAGCTTCAGGGGTTAGGTGGTGGCCTCAGCTTCAGCAACTCTGAGGGGTCAACCTTGGGTGAGGAGTTGGCCTCATCCAGAGGGATGCTGGGAAACCTCCAGTGGCTTGAGATAGGGCTGTGGGTGGGGAAGGGTGCCGAGGGGCATTGCTGGTCCCATCCCCAGCTTTTTGGGAGAGTGATTGAAAAACTGCCTGCTGTCACCAGTGTCCTGATGAATTGGATAGTCCCCTTGTTCCCCCTTTTGATCTCCTTCCCTCCCTCCCCTCTTCTTCCATTGAGTTTGCAATCTCCAGCAGGTCTGTATCACAGGTGCAGGTCACTTGACACTTTGTTGTGATGAACAACCTCAACAAGGAAAGAAAGAGACAAGCTCACCCCTTCTTTTCCAGTTCTTTCTAGTTTGAAAACACAAGAACGTAATCTTTGGTGTATCACACAGGCCAGCACACACAGTAGCAGTGACCTTATTTGGACAAAATGGGCCCACTGAAATGGGAGCCTTTTTCTACCAAATGGGCCTATTGAAATGGGAACCTTAGTTTATTTGAGACGCATCACTGTCATTTGGAAAGAAGAAAAGGTGTTGGTGCCTCACTCATAGATAGCACTCCTCACCAGTGTAGTGTGGGAGATGGGAAGCAGTTGTAACTAGAACTTGTAATTTAGAATTTGGCTTTTTTTTTTTTTAAATCAGATGGGAAGGGGAGTAAATGATCAGGTAGTCTCCTTCCAATAGTACTTTCCTGGACACTGTGTCCACACACACACACAGGTTTGAGTTTTAAGCTCCATTATGGGCTAAAAACTCTCCTGTGCTGGATTGACCCCCAAGGTCTTTGGAGTCATTTCATACTGTCCCCCATCGAGCTTATCACCCAGTGCTTTTAGAAGGTGTTCTGAGTGTGGATTGTGACCACCAGGAATGGCTTTAGTTCCAAGTTCAAAGGGTGTTTTAAGGAGATAGTCTTGGACGTTCCTCTAGTCTTTTATCTGTCCAGTAAGTCTGGGCTTTTTTTTTTTTTTTTTTTTAAGGAATTTGAGTTTTGTTCTACATTTTTCTCCTTCTATCCAGGACCTTCTACTGTGTCCCTGGTAAGAACGATCAGTAGTGGTGGTGGTTATGGGTCATCAAGTCGGACCCGACTCATAGTGACCCCTCCTTGGGTTTCCGAGGCAGTATCACTATGGAAGTAGATTGCCCCATCTTCCTTCCGAGGAGTGGCTGGTGGGTTTGAACTGCCAGCCCTCTGGTTAGCAGTCCAGTGCCTTAGGCACTATGCTACCAGTAGCAGGCACCATCTAGTTCTTCTGGTCTCAGGCTAGATGAGGCTGTGGTTCATGTGAGCTGTTAGTCCAGTATACTAGTTTCTTCTTTGAGTCTTTGATTTCCTTTATGCTCTTCTGTTCCAGATGAGTGGAATTTAATTGTATCTCAGATGGCTGCTGGGAGCCTCCTCTCTTAGTTTTGCTCTCTGGAGCCACACAGAAAAAATGCACTCTCCCATGAAACAGGGTGACCACTAACACCTTCTCCTTCTCCCTTGCCTCCCCCCAAAAAACACCCAGAGGATGTAATGCCCCTATTTTCTCATAGGGCCTCTTAATAATAAAACAGTAGCCTCTGTTTACACATGATGAGTGCTTTACCTAGCTTCAGAGCTCATTGAATCCTCATGACAATCTATGAGGTAGGCAATATTAACTTCATTTTACCAGATTGGAAAAAAAACAAAACAAGGCTTGGAAAAGTTAAGCTAGTAGGTGGCAGAATCGGAATTAAAATCCAGATCAGGAATAAGTCATCCTGACTTTCAGGCATGATTGTACATATGGGCACTTGTGGGTATC